CCCTATACTGCTTATTACAATCAAATATTCTTAATTTAATATGATCCATTAATGTGATCGAAACATACATATGTAAATTTCATCTTATTTGAAAAAGATACAATACCCGCGTTTCGGAAGCGCGGGTCAAAGCCTAGTTATTATTATTATAAAACACTCTAAGCTATTTCTCTAGTAACCATAAGAATATTGAATATATATACATTTATTGATGGACGACCCATTGATGGTTTTGGTTCTTGCATTCAAGTACGGCAAAGGATGTTTGGATTCGAGAAAAATATCGTATGAAACGCAGCGGATCATGGTGTTTAGAGAGGAGGAGACAACAGAGGGAAGATTCATGTGTTACACTGATGACATTGGAGATATGTGCATCTTTGTGTAACATCCCGGTTTAATGGTATATGGAAAGGCTTAAGAGAATTGATTTGGCTACATGTGTCACCAAATTGCACTTATCTTTTCGGAAGCACATCCAGAGAGAACTCCAGAGTTAAGCGTGTTTGAGCCGGAGTAGTCTAAGGATGGGTGACCTATCGGGAAGTGATTTGCGATACTGTATAGTGAGGCCAAAGCACGGGGAAAGGTCGGGTGGTGATTGCAGGGTCAGTGAACATGACTCTAGAGCCTTGAAAAATAACGGACCGGCCGTTAGAACGGGATGGGGCCCACGAGCTGAGTGAGCGGGCGTGGGTGGCCCATTAGCTGGGCGGTCGGGGCGTTATACTTTGTTTCAAAATGAGAGGCTTTTTGTATCCCCGCAAGCTCTTTCCCTGGACTCAAACCAAACTCCATCTATTTTATAGGCTTTGGCGTAGGTGTCTACGATCTAACCACCAGAACCGCCTCTAGTTTTCAGGCTCCCGAAGGTGCACTGAATTATCCTTGGGCCCGTTGCTGGTTTCCATCTTCTAGTTCTAGCTAGTGCTGCTGCTACGTTTGGGTTGCTTTTGTTTCTATTCCCTCTCGACTTGCTAAGTTCTAAATCCATTTGGACGCAATATTAAAACTTTATTATCAATGGATACAGTTCTTTTTAAATATATTCTTAACTTGTTCTTACACACTAGGCTAGAACATGTCAAACAATGTCTCTAACCTCACAATATCACTAAGAGAAAAAAAAAAATCACATTTAGCTTGACAAACTATGGATGTCACAGGTTTAACCACCCCCAACAACAAAAAAGACATGTCTAAGTTTCATCCAGGCCCGACCTAAACCATTAAGTAGACCCAACCTGACCTACTATTGGACTTGGAGTATCAAAACAAAGCTTTGACAGATCGGATATATAAGTGGATATTGACCCTCTCTTAAATTCTATTCTCGTAAGCTTTTCTCTATGCTTCAAGATTTTTTGGATTGGCGTGTGAAATCTCAGACTCGTCAAGCAATTAAAGGAGCTTTCCTCATAGCTGATAGTTTAATCAAGGAGGATCAGTTTCAATCTTACTTGATATGGGTTTATCCAATTTGGCTAAGTTTATTTTTCTGTTAAGGTTTATGCTATGGTTGTTGTTTTGATTTATTTTGATCCATTGTTGTAATCAGGTTTTTTATTTGTTAATGAAATGAATGTTTAAAAAAAAAATATTTTACATTTCAACAGAAAATACTAAAGTTGTCCTAATGTAAAATCATATTCAAAATCTTGGGATTAATTTGTGTATTTGTGTTGGGAGTAAATGATAAACATAATACAGCTAACTTTCTTTTCGGATCACTTGCATTAAACATAAAACTGCTAAAGTATGTCAAATAAAAACTGAAAACCAAAATAAAACACTATCGTCGTGAATGCTGATTGTAAGGTGAAGCTGCTTGAATTCGATTCCTCCGTTTGTGAAGAAAACTTTGGAGAGATCTTTTCATAGAAGCCTTTGGATTTGGAAGCTCATGATGATGTAATCGGCTCAACCTGTTCCGAGGATCCGACCCGTTTGAGGAGGACCTCTTTTCCATTTCTCTACTCGCGATCGATATTATAGATTTAGCCTGCATTCATTCATAAAAAAAAAACATTAGTGGTTAATAAAATCCATTAATTGCTTACAAAATATAATCATAGATGAATGGTTATATATGTACATACCTGAAGATGGGTAACATTCGAAGAAACACACATTTTTCCATTGTAGAAAATTGTTATCCTCTGAGATTCTTCTTCCTTTTGTAGTGAATTTCCAGAGCTTCTTGATTCTATCACACTTCAAATCATTTAAATGTAAATTTTATTAGATACATGTATATTAGTTAAATTGCATAGATTAGATTCCAGAGAGAGAGAGATAAACTTACGAGGTATCTGGCTCGTCATAAGAAGATGTTGGAAAGAGACGAAGTTCCAAATCGCAGTTTTTCTCCATTTTCTGAGTTGTAAGAACTAGAATTGATGATGCTGAGGTGGTGATGATATTGTGTCTGGATTGATATACATAAGTTTATATATATGTTTGGTTTATGAGGAGGGAGAGAACAGGAGAGCGCTAGTGGAGACAGAACACGGTATCTTAAGACAGAGACAGACAGATCACAGCTTCGTTTTAATTATATCACGTGAAAAATGTTCTTTCTATTTTTATATTTGTGCAGTATTAAGGTTTTGGATTCTTTTATTGATTGAGCTAGAAATAAAAGTACAAAAGCTTCATTTTCGCTGCAGTTTAATACCTATCCTAAATTTCTACTGGCGGTTCGACGCATTTTGCACATTTTTAATACTCATATTTCATTCCTTTTGATTGGATTAATTTTTCTTTAATAGTTATGTATCATTGATCATATTTATTATACTCATATATTAGTTCACCGGTATACTAAAGTGTTTGATGCCTACCTTCTTTTTAGTTGTCAAAGTATCGACTGCTGAATAGTTTACCGGTTTGCTAATAATTCATAGGCGGCGGCGAATCTTCATAAGTCAATTCTATAATCACTGCACAAGCAAATATTATCAAACTTGGCGGTGTTTGACAAAACTACTAAAGTGTTTTACGGAATTTTATTAAATGATTAAACTAGAATTAGGATAACTGATAATATATGATGAAGGCACGTGTTTACGTCTCTCATAAGCTGCTCCTTTTGATATTTCCTTGTATTCTATCTTGTTTGCGGCTATGAGACAAGTGGTAAGGATTCATAGAGAAAAAAACGTGGTAGGGTCAATTTTTGATTAGTGATGAATTTAGTTATCAAGCCATCCACTATAATGTAATTTTGGCCAAGATAAAAATATATTTGAAATGAAACCGGCTAAGTAATCAATGTCACTCACATTCCGGTTTTGGTTATTTTAACGTTTAAACTGAGATATGTTGATCGATCTTGGTAAATGCATACGCATCCGCCTAAAACAATTGCTTTACTTTCAAAGTTCGGTTGAAATCATTATGAATCGGTGGCATGGAAACCATGGGCTAATCCAAGTGTTGACTGAGTTCTCATTGCCAACATAATTAGTTACTTTAATCATTGGGTCAATAGCATTTTTGTTTGTCATAAAAAAAAAGAAATTTAACAAACATTTTATGTGTTATTTGTCTATTTAATTTAGATAAGAAACTAACATAAAAGTAAAACACGTGACTTATGAAAAATACTAGTAACACACGACCTTAAGATTGTTGGCTTCCCATGCACCACTCAATTGATTCATCATCTCATAAACATCGTTGTCGTTTTTTCACATAATAGTTTTGATTACGTGCCTAACTGTGGTCGACTTATTAATGATTTATCCCATCAACTAAATAAAATAAAATAAAAAGAAGTAGTCGACTAATCCCTTTTTCGTTTGTTTCTATGTCGACGACTCCTTAGAAGTGTCCACACACCGACGGTATAGAAACACAAGAGCACGTTGAAAATAAATAAAAGTCATTCGATATTTCAAAATAAATAAAAGTCATTCGATATTTCAAAATAAATAAGTCAAATTTGGGACCGAGTTTAACTTGTGGTTAGCGTTGTGTTGCACAAATCAACAAACAACTGAAAGCTATCTAGAAATCTATACATTAATAATCACGCGATGGGGGTCTAGTGACATACGAGGTTTAAGTTGCTAAGCAATTTGGATTTGAACATCTTTTACTTGTGATCACGCGGATCTCTTATATAATAAAGTTCACGAAAATCTTTTATATAATAAAACACAAGTCATCTTACCAATTAAATTCTAACATATCATGAATATTAGAACATTTGAAAACTAATTGATTGAGATAATTTTAAAAGAAAAAAACATAACCATATAACAGTTGCTAGATTTATCCTTCAACCCACAATCTTTTTCTGGTGTAAACCCACAGTTTTTTGTATGTCTATAATCTTTTCTTCTGTTTTTATATCTGAAAACAAACATCTGAAAATTTTCACTCGATCAAAACAAAATAAAAATCCTATTTGTTTTTTAGCAACAATAAGAAAATTAGTATTGAGACTGATTTCTAAATAAACGGGTGCCAATCCCTATTTTCTTTCTTTGTACAGTTTCATTAGTTTCTACGAAAAATTACACAGCTTTTTCTCAAGGGTTTATCAGAACCGATTTAAGACTTAGAGGTTTAGAAATATGGTAGATTTGCATTGCTGGAGGTTTGATCAGAACAAATAGACTTGGACAAGAAACCAAAGGAAGATAGAAAGCAAACATGCTGAAAACAGAAGAAATACTTTGGATAAAAGGTAAATAAACTTTTACCATGTTAACTATTTGAATTAGATTTGTAGTATTATTTTTGTTTGTATCTAGATGAAGATACAATATGAGTTACTAGAGTAATAATCTAAAGAAGCATAAATTCCAGATTATAGATAATGAAAATTATTAAAATAATAAGGCATCAAGAAGTAAAATAGAAACGCTTCAAAGTATTGATTATATTAACAAGCTAATAAAGATCAATGTAAAAAAATTAACCAAATTTGGTTTATCTTTGTATGTTTATAGTTAATTAATTATTTGTGTTAAATGTATCTGCATGTCATTTTAGTTATACAGTAAAATTTCTATAAATTAATAATGTTAGTACTTTACAATTTTATTAATTCATAGAGATATTCATTTACAAAAATGTCCTAATTTTGATTTTGTTATTTATTTTAATATATATATATATATATATATATTTATTCTAAGATAAGAAAAGTATTTGATTTCATCATATAAACATTAATTATTATTTTTGAAATTTGATATTTATATTAATTTATTATATTATTTGGTGTATATAATATATATTGCATAATTTAAATGTGGTTTTAGATATAATATTAGTAAATCTCATCAAAAATATATTAAGTGTTAAGAAAATATAAAGATAATTACATTGTGAATATAATAAAACAATATATTGATAGATTATTATTTATATAAAATATGTATACATAGAAATTATTATTTTCATTTTGATGTATAATTTAAGGGCATACACATAATATAATTATGTGGTTCATTGGAAAAACACCATTTAAATAAGTTTCCTAATTTAAACCAAGATTACTATCATTTTCTACACCTTTTTCTAAAATCATAACTTAACCTCGAAAACCAACTAATTGCAATTAATCATATCTTTGTTCAAAAATGAAATAAAAAATCTTTTTATTTAGTTCCATCTTTCTTTCTATCTATCCCTTATATATTAAAGGAGAAGCATTACAACATTTTTTTGTAGCCACGTGTCATCACCACAATCATTCTTAGAATCCTTAGAAAATATGTTGGTCCATCTAAATATATAATAAGCTTTTTATTAAACTAATCATAAATGACTTATCAATGTTTTTCATTGTTTCCTTAAATAAAAATAACGGAATTGCCAAATATGGTTAAAGAATTTATGACAATTAATGATTTTCAATAATAAAGATTTGATAAAAAATAGTGTATTTTTAAGTTTTAACTTATTAAAAGTAAATTAAACAACTATATTACTATATAATAAAAATTAGATTTTTTCGTATAACTTTGAAATTTTTAAAACGATTATAAATGACTAAAGTTGTTACAAAATCTCACATTGAAATTTTGTGATCCATGGTTAAATTCTTTTATATAACAAAATAGAAATGATTACAAAAATATATAAGTAAGAAGTCTCATTTAATATATATATATCCCATATATATTAATTGAAAAGCATTACAGCATGTTTTTGTAGCCACGTGTCATCATGATAATGATTCTCAAATATACATAAGAAAAAAATGTTGGTCCATATAAACATATAATATATTTTTATTAAACTAAGTATAGAACTATTATTAATGATATTCATTATTTCCTTAAATAAAATTTCTAAAATTACCTAATATGGTTATAATATATATATATATATATATATATATATATATATATATATATATGACAATAAATGATTCGAATATGAAGATTTGATAAAAAAAAATTATAGCTTCTACTATTTTTTTTAAACTTATATTGTGAAAATAAATTAAACAATAACATTAACTATATAACAAAAAATAGTTTTTTGATAAATGTTATATTTTCAATTTCTAAAAACAGTTATAAATTAATAAAACATTTAAATTTAACATATAATATTTATGATTAGTAGTTTAAATCCCCTATATTTTAATACTTGAGCATTACAACATTTTTTTGTAGTCACGTGTTACAATGAGAATGATTTTCATAACTCTTAGAGAAATATGTTGGTCAACCTAAGCATATGTTATATTTTTATTATACTAACTAATAACTATCATATTTAATTAGTAGTGTACAAAAGAATATTTTCTATTATTTTCTTAGATAAAAGCTACAGAATTATCTAATATGATTAACATATTATCACAATTAATGTTTATGAATAATAAAGATTTGATAACAATTTTTCTCATCTTTACTTTTTATTAATGTTATATTATTAAAAGAAATTAAACAATCACATTAATCATATAATTAAAAAATTAGATTTTTCTTATATGTTATATTTTGATTTTTTTAAACGATCATAAATTACTAAAAATGGTAAAAATCTCAAATTGAAAATTTTCTGATCAATGATAACGTTTTTTAATTCAACCAATCGTTTTTCTAATGGGTCTTAAACAGTTTATAATGATTAACTAAATGTATTGCGCATAATAGAGTGTGTTTTGTATAAAAATTATTGCATACCCTAAATCAATATGAACCATCATCTCTTTCGTTTAAATTTTTGTTACCAAAAAAATATATGGTTCTGCAAAAAACTGAATCCAGATAATCGAACCAAATCTAATCCAAAAAGTAGTAAAAACATTTAACAAAAATTGGTTAGATATCCAAACAGATTCAAAATTTTGGTATCTCGAGAACCAAAACTTAATCGAAATATCTCGGGTATCCAGGTGTACTCGATTTAGATTTATATACTTAAATATATTAATTATTTTTAAATTTAACATCTAAGAATGTACAAAATACATGAGGTTTTTAAAAAAAATTCCACAATACTTAGAAATATATAAAATAGTTAAATGTACATTTTTAAAATAGCTAAACGAGACTCCAAATACCAATCTATTTGAAATATTAATTGATTTTTTGTCCAAATATTTAAGATAAACCAGTTTTATGTTAATTTTAAGTGTTTTGGCATTCATTTTTCAAATTTATATGTTATATATCATTTTTTACTTTTAGATTTTTAAAAATTTAAAGTATATAAAAATTTTAATCTTTAAAAAAAAAAATGGGTTATCCGAACATAAACTCAATCCGAACCTGCAAAGATTCGAACCAAACTGCAAAGATCTAAACAAAACATAATTTAACCAAACCAAATGGTACCTAAATGTCTATCCCTAATCAAATGTAAAAAAGTTTATTGATAACAAAAAAAATGTATTTATACTAAATATTTCTAAAAAGCTCACCCCGCGCATGGCGCGGGTTATCATCTAGTTACTTTTATTTGTTAACAAAGTGGGGGCTTATTTCTTGTATTTTAACTTCCCAACTAAATCTAGTGTTATTAATATTATGATTTTAATATCCATATTAAATTGTTATTGGTATATGATTTATAAAACATAATTAAATTCACGTGTTATTCCTACAAAATTACTAAAATATATTTTACAGTAAATTTTAGTGGATTTGAAATAATTTATTTGTTAAAAACAGAAATACCTAAATCTGAGAAAAAACTCTCAGATTCGTAAATATTTATTCAAATCCCCATATTTAAAAATCAAGGAATTTTATTTAGATTTTTAATCTCGATACAAATTTGTAAATCGATTAAAATAGTAACAAATAACATTCTTAATAGAAAACCTTCTTATTTTTAAGCCTAGATTACTTTTAGTATTTTTGAGATTAGTTTATCTTGATCTATTATGGTCTATTATAAAATTATACAAAATTAGATTTAACAATATTCATATTAAAACTTGTATTCATATATAAACTTTCTTGTTTATAAATATACATACAAATAATTAGTTCAAATTTTTATTTAAAATGATTTCACAAACATATTTGTATAACTTGTATTATATAATTATATTGCAGAACAAATTATTAGAAAATATAAATATTATTGTATTTGGCTTATGGCATCAAAAAATCTTTGCACGTCTCTGACTACCATCACATGTTCACAGCGTAGCTAGTAACACAGTTTTAAGACCAAATGGTTATTTTCTTAACTTGCAAGAAGTCAAATTACATCGTGGGCTCATCCATCTAAACAACCAACCAACCCTACCATTCGGTAAATGATTTATGATTGTAAGTTCTTAACTCTTAACGATCTGCTATCCCAAGCATGTGTGTGTTCATGACCAAGGCCAATTAGCATCTCGCCACGCAAAGCGACATCCTCCAAAACCATTACTACAGCCATTAACGTTGATGGTTTCACCAGAGTTTGATCCATCTAAACCAACATGTCGAAGTTTTTGATCTCGTTTCGCCGCTTCCTCTCTGTAAGATGGGTCTGAGTATCTAGGGTGTTGGATGAAAGGTACATTCTTCCACCAGAGTTTAAGTGCCTAAAAACGAATAAGAAAATAAATAGAACTTGTGTAATGAAGCCAACAAGTTGATGATCAGTATGTAATTAAAAAGATATTGAGTATATATAATGCCACTTACATGCCAATAGATCCATATAGCAACCTTATGAGGCATCAACCAGAAGAAAGCTGCTGGATCAGAAACCCGTGTTTGGTCTATTCTTTTTGCCTTCAATGTCGCGGAAAAGTAGTTACCGTGATGAGGATGTTGTGATTCAATGGAGACAGATAGCTCATCTCCAGGTTCATTTGCTCTGATCTTCCAATTCCCAAGCATATCCTGAAAAGAAAGTTAAAAGTACTTAATGAAATCCACAAGCTGAACGAGATCAATCAATAGATGATGAACATCATCAGAGTAACATACCATGAAAGGACTGACTTGTAATGATTTAGCAACCAATTCAGATTCAGGGTCGAAAACAAATGTCACTCGTTCCCCCCATGGCGTATTTGTAACCTAGAAAAGAAAATCCTCTAAATCATTATCAACAGAAACACTTAATTCACAAATCCAATTCAACAGCTTCACTATCAAAGATTTCAACTAAGAAATTGCACAAGTTCTCCTCCTTCATCCATTTATTACTTAACGCACACTATCAGCTATATCAAAATATATTCCCAGGTTATAACAAGTTTACACACTTCTAACTTCTAAAAATCGGTTTAGGTGGTGCTTAATCGGTAAATCCAACCTAAACGAAATGATTTTTTCAGAACGATTTAAAAACATTTTGGTCTAGGCGCTTAAAAAATCAGTCTTAGATGTCAGCTTACTCAATAATCTAACATAAAATGCCTAACTAAGCACCTACTGATTTATTGAACATTGCTTATAAGAGTAGTTATGAACGAACCAAGTGATGTCTGAGAGACAAATCAAGAATGAGAGGAGAAAAAAAACATATATACGTACCTGTGCAATACATTTACTTAAGCGCTTACAAGAGCCTCCTTCTAAGTTGTAGCAATAATACAAACTCAAAGGGTTCTGTTCATATCCAACGCTTGGAGGTATTGTCAATAGAAAACTGCGACCAAAAATAACAGATTCATCACAATTCATTAAGCATCCAGTGTCTTGATCTACACACTACACAGTTTCAGACATATACATAACCATAACCAAACAGAAACTAAACCAGTTTAGTATTTAACTCACTTCTGATTTAACATAATCTCTTGTAGTAACACGGACAATTTTAGTTTATGTCAACTCTTTTGTCTGATAATCTCATATTAGTTCCGTAAGAACACATATGAACGTTACGTATTACTAAGTTCATTTGAGAAGATAAAGCTTACATCGGACCGGTAGTACGAGCAAGAAGACGAGCTTCGTCGGCGGAGAGATGATCCGGCGGCGCGTTAACGGCGTTGTCGAGGTCGAAGAGCGCGTAACGTACGGTGTAACGGAAGGAGTGCCGTACGGGACGGAGCCTATCGTGCCAGACGGTGCCTTCGTAATAAGAGACGTTAGAATCGACGGCGGAGCGTGAAGGTAAGATACGGTTGATAAGGAGGCGGAAAGGGAGGAGAAGAGAGAGGAAGAGCGTTGTGACTGAAGTGTAGACGATCGAGCAGAGGAGATAGAGCAATTCCATAACCAAGAACCTTCTCTTGTCTTCTCCTATCTCTCTCTGCCTCTGATCCTTTCAAGAGACAGTGATGATGATGACGACCTTTCAAATGGAGAGGATCTTTGTTTGTATTGCACTTTGGTCCTTACGTATTTTTATAATTTATTACATTTTGACCCATTATTTTAGGTTGTTTGTTTATTTGACAACCTATCATAGTGCTTGATTGAATGCGTGGGCGTTAGTGAACCACCTATTGTTATTGCATCTGGATAATTTTACTTTAATTTATGTTTGGTTTGGAAAGGTATGTCGCGGAAAGTTTTGGGATGCATGTTTCTTTTTTTTTTTTGTCTGGTGAACCTGTTAGATTCACTAGCAGTATTAAATAGTCTAAACTTGTAGTGGATCCAGAGAAACTCTATTATAGATCCTTCCAAATCACACTAATATATTCAGAAATCAGAATTGACAAGAACAACAAAAGTATAAATGTTGAGCAATATAAATTCAACAGTTTACAATAGGCTGGACGTTCGGTGGACATTCGGTTTCGATCTGAATGATTCGAATTTCGATGTTATGCTCATAAGTACCATCAATTTTTATTAGTTATCGGATCGGATTCGGTTCGGTTCGGTTCTTTATGGATTCGGATCGGATCTAACCAATATTTAAAATCGTTTAAAACTATATTTTTTTAAAACCTCAAAAATTAACAAAAAAAATAAAATATATAAATTATTTACAAATCTAATTAAAAATTAGTTGAACTATCTAAATTAACTTAAAAGTATTCAGAATAAGAAATAAAACAAACTAAAAAATATTTTGAATACTCTAAAATATCTAATCCTTAACATATATAAAACATTAACATGTTTAACTAGTTTCGGATATCTTTGGATCTTAATTCAGATTTTGGTTCTGTTCAAGTTATAATCAAAGTTCAAAATAATAAGTTCATAAGTCTAGTTGGGATATTTTTGTAAAACAGCTCGGATTTGGATTTCGAGTTAACGAGGTTAAAACACCAAGGCCTAGTTTAAAAACCCAACAACAGTAGAGGAAACTAAATTTTTAAGGGTAAGTATTCTTGGGCCGATACATTTGAGGCCCATCCGCGTCACCCAAAATCAAGGAAAGGTCATAATAAGCTTAGCTAAATGTAATTGGAGGTTGGTCCTGGGTGGTTAAGCGAACCATCCTAACTAAATCCTGTACATGCTTGTTCATGGAGTAAAACATAGTCCACAATGTAAATACAAACACGTGTCACCATACTAGTAAAGTGACACGAGTCACATTTATATTGGTTTGATAAGAAATAAGGGGCCCACAGGAGATCAGAAGTGGTGCATGGCGAAGAAAACAATGTACACTACACAAACATGTGGATTTGATCGCACAATACAAACAAATTATTTATATTTATATTTTACAGAAGAATTCGTTTTCACAGTTTGTCCTTCGATTTCTCCGCATCGTCACTCTCCCTGGAACAAAAGAAAAATGGCAGCGAGAATCCATGGAGGAGCTGGAGCTGGAGCTGCTACGGCCTTGTCGACGTTTAATCCCAAGAAACTCGTCGCTCCCTCTCGCACCAATCTCCCAGGTTCGAATTTACGATTAGAAATTTGAAAATTTGTATTCTCTCTTCCGTCTGATTTTGCGAGATCTTAGGAGTTTTGTTTTGTTTTGAATGTTTTTTGATGCAACAGCGATTACGAGGAGCAAGAGATACATTGTGGCTTCTGGATCTGATGCGAGTAATAAGAGTCTAAGAGTTCGTCACTCTCAGAAATTGATTGCAAATGCTGCTGTTGCGGTATGCCTTTTGTCTCTGATTTTGTTATTTAATGTTTCTCTTATGAATCTGAAATGATTTCGTTTTGATTTGTAGACGAAGGCTGAGACATCTGCGACCACTGGCACTGGGTATGATCTTTTTTTTTTAATTGCACATTTTATATTCTTTGCAGATTGGTTTTTGATTTCAGAATTAGGATCTTGAACATAAGCATGGCATGTTGATTGATCATATTCTCCGATTACATCTATTCATGTATTTGATCTTATACAAATAAATGCCTTTGTTTAAAAAACATAGATTGGGATCCAAAGTATGTAGGTAGCTTTTGTCACTCTTGTTTTGTGGATAGAGTTTTGACAAACTCTCTCTTGGAGAGGGTCAGAGTTAAGTCAACAGAGACGCTAGTTTTTAGCTTGATAATTGATAGTGATTACAGAAGCTTAATCTGTTGTACGTCTTTGCTTTACAGTAACCGTTTTCTCATTGATTTCTTTGTTTGTGGTTATCATACTTGAAGATGATTATGTTGGAGATCTTTTCATCAAACCATTTAATTACTTCCCATCATGAATCACGTAATTTTGGCTCTGCTGTAATGGCATACCAAGTGAACAAATTTGAAAGAAAAAAAAAAAACAATTCTGGTGACTTCGTGCATATACTACAATTCACTAGGCTTGGGTAAATTTTCAGATACAATTTACCTGTACTGTTGGTTTCACCTATGCATTTGTCGTCGACATCTATTGTCACAAATAACACGTTCTCTTGCGCTGTCTCTGAAGTTCAATGTTTCAATGATCATATTCTAACCATGTAATGTTGATGCATTTTCTGTCACAACACAGCATAGTAAATCCAATTTTAATTCTTATAAACTTGCAGACATGAGCTGCTGCTTTTCGAGGCTCTTCAGGAAGGTCTTGAAGAAGAGATGGACAGAGATCCACATGTATGTGTCATGGGTGAAGACGTTGGCCATTACGGAGGCTCCTACAAAGTTACCAAAGGCCTTGCTGATAAATTCGGCGACCTCAGGGTTCTCGACACTCCTATTTGTGAAAACGCATTCACAGGTATGGGCATTGGAGCCGCCATGACTGGTCTAAGGCCCGTCATTGAAGGTATGAACATGGGTTTCCTCCTCCTAGCCTTCAACCAAATCTCCAACAACTGTGGAATGCTTCACTACACATCTGGTGGTCAGTTCACAATCCCGGTCGTCATCCGTGGTCCCGGTGGAGTAGGACGCCAACTCGGCGCTGAGCATTCACAGCGGCTAGAGTCTTACTTCCAGTCCATTCCTGGGATCCAGATGGTTGCTTGCTCGACTCCTTACAACGCCAAAGGCTTGATGAAAGCTGCGATAAGGAGCGAGAACCCTGTGATTCTGTTTGAGCACGTTCTGCTTTACAATCTCAAGGAGAAGATCCCGGACGAAGAATACATTTGTAACCTTGAAGAAGCTGAGATGGTTAGACCTGGAGAGCACATTACCATCCTCACTTACTCGCGTATGAGGTACCATGTGATGCAGGCAGCTAAAACTCTGGTGAACAAAGGGTATGACCCTGAGGTTATCGACATTAGGTCGCTGAAACCGTTTGATCTTTACACGATTGGGAACTCGGTTAAGAAAACGCACAGGGTTTTGATCGTGGAGGAGTGTATGAGAACTGGTGGGATTGGAGCTAGTCTTACGGCTGCAATTAATGAGAACTTTCATGACTATTTAGATGCTCCGGTGATGTGTTTGTCTTCTCAGGACGTTCCTACACCATACGCTGGTACACTGGAGGAGTGGACCGTTGTTCAACCGGCTCAGATCGTGACCGCCGTTGAGCAGCTTTGCCAGTGAAATTCGTATGTTAATCCGGTGAGCCATTATTTACCATTTACCTTTCTATTTACTTTCTCTTTAGTTTAGTTCGTAAGAACTTGCTTTTTTTTTTTTTTTGTAACGTTTGTTTGTCCCTTTTGTTGCGTGTTTGGAATATTGTTTTGAAACTCATAATGTTTCGTTTGTTAATCCATCTTACATTTTTATTTTTATCCTATGAATCTTCATTACCTTTAGCTATAAACACATACACAACTCATTCTGTTTTAGATGTTTTCTTATTACCACTTGGCTGATTTACATTTAGCAGCTCTTCCTGTATCATTCAAGTATGAATCAAAAGACTTGATGACTTGTTCGTATGTTGGCCTTTTGTAATCAACTGCTTGCTCTATCACTTCTTCTGGTTTTGCCCATTTCCACTCTGCAAACTCTGAGTCCGCTTCATTGTTCCCTAGATTGATCTCTCTTTCAACCTCATCGTTTATCAGTCTCACTAGAAACCTGTGTGGATTCATTAGCGTTTTCAGAAACAATGAGTCATTCATTCTCTCTTCTTGCAAAACATAACTAGATGGTATCGAAGAGACTAACCATTTCTGCGCCTGACCATGCCATTCACCGCCCCAGAGACGGTTAACCTTTGCTTTTACTGCAGTTGGGAAATCATATGTTAACCAATTTGGAACCTGACATTGCAGAACATAGAAAGAAAGAAACATTTGGTAAATGCTCTGATTCGTAATATCATATGTATTCTCTTTATAGTAAAAGAGTAAAGACCTCAGCGATGATTGCAGCTGAAACGACCCCAGTTTCTTCTTGTAGCTCTCTCATGGCTGCTGACTTTGGATCCTCTCCATCCTCAATGCCTCCCTGTAACATCCTCGGATCGTTGAAGGTTTCAACATCATCGTTAACACAAAGAGAAAACAGTTTGAAACTGGTGTTAAGTTGATATAAAAACATCTACTCAAGTTTACTTATCAACAAATTTTTCTTGACATTCTTATTCCACTAGGAGTGGTGTTAAACATCAGGAATATACTTAAATCACACCTGTGGCATCTGCCATGCTCCAGGAACATTCAATCTTGAAGCTACGAATACCTGTGAATCAATAATCAATGGTCATAATAAACTCAGTACCTACTACTTATTTACCAGTGAGTAAAACAGTAATTTAACCAGAGAGCTGAATTAGATGGTTGAAATGTTACCAGATTATCAGAATTAATTAGACAAACACCAACATTGGGACGATAACCAGGAGGTAGATTCTCCATTTTCTGCTGAAAGCAACAATTACCACTTAATACATTGATACCGTTATTACATTAGGTTATAGTATATTTACAAGAGTTTTTCAGCTTAATCTACTTTTTGTTTGGTCTTAAAGCTTTCTTTACGTTATATTATCTACTATGAGATCATAGAATTTCGACATGTTGATAATAATTATAGTTGGTTTTACTGTTTTTTGTTCTTATCTTTTCTATTTCGCTAATTCAGAAATGTTACTACATATAACGAGGGCGAGAAAGAATTTGATATTATAATATCAGATCATAGACTTTCGACATGTTCACCTGAAACAAAACCTAATTACTATATTGTTCTACTTCTACAAGAGATCGAACTAGAAGCAATCCTGATCAATTTCTTTTTAACTTATCAAAGGTGTGCAAATCAAGAAACGTTTACAGAATCCAAACTATATGAAAAAATATAGTATAAAGAATTATAATCAGAGTTAGACAATTTACAAGAAACAGAACACTTATGAACAAATCTAAAACGAACAGATCTGGGAAACAAAAACAAAAATAAAGAGAAAATCAAGCATCGAACGAAGGATCAAACCTTGGGTTCTTGTTTCTTTGAGCTTTGACTTCTTTAAAAGTTTTAACGCAATAAAGCTAGAACGAAGATCATGTTTTTGTGTTTATGTGCTTTTTCTTTCAAACTAAAAGCACACGTATATCTTCTTACATTATATAGAATTGGATTCGGCCTTAAACGATGACGTCTGAATATACCAGCTTAAATTCTTTTCTGTGTTCTGACTATTTGCCATCTTGTTCTAACTGGCTATATTGAGCCGGGCCCACCGACGATTTGTTTTATCATAAATTCAGTTGCCATGTGTAAAGACAAGGTAGGTAGGAAGTATTTTTGGTTTTGGTGTGATAAATTGATAAACGTCTAATTATTGTCAACGTTTCTTTCACGTTTTTTTGGTTTAAATACAACCTAGTTGTAATTTCTAAGTTTAGTTGACAAAATAAATATTCTTGTTTAATTGTAATGTAAAATTAGTTGAGTTTGCTTTGGAAAAAAAATGTAATATGTGTATTTTGCAAAAAAAAAAAAAACATTTGAAAGTTGTATATTTGACGAAAAAAAGTATGAGGAAAAAATGTGATGTCATTGACATTTTGTGATAGGAACAACCAAAAAAATACATTAGCAAGAGCGCATGAGAAATAATCTTTGAAAGGATTTGGAGAATAATAAGGTAATGATAATAAAAACGTAGGTTAACGAGTTGATATGGAAAGTAAGTTAGCACAAAGGAATGTGACAGATTAAGGAGTAGGGCTGGGCATTTTATTCGTTATATTTGATTCGATTCGTTATTCGTTTCGATTCGATCCAAAAATTCTGGATATCCGTAAACTTTCGAATCAAAGCAAATACTAAAATTCAATATCCGTTAAAATCAAAGCAAATCGCAAATAGTAAAATTTTGGGAAGCGGATATCCGATCCGATCCGTAAATATATAAATATATGTATATCTTGCATATATTTAACATTTTAAATGTATAAAATTATATAATTATTATTCTAGCATA